AATCTACACTGTCTGATATTAGTATGATTATTTCAGTCTCTTTTGGCTAGTGTTCGAATGATATGGCTTTCTTTATCCTTTACTCTGCAGACTCATATATAGCTTTTTTTAAAATTTACTCTGAAAATGTTTGTGTTTATTTGTAGAACTTGGGCCATTTACATTTATATAATATAATTTATATACTATTACTGGAGTTTGAAGCTACCATTGTTCTATGCATTTTTCAATTGATCCAATTTATTATCTTTTATTCTACTGTATTGATGTCTTATAATTAATCAAATACTATTTTATCTTTATACTTTATTCACCTATTAGCTTGCTTGCAATACACTATTTTACTACTCTTTAGTACCTATCTTAGACATTAAAAGATACATCTTTAATCTGTGGTAGACTAAATTAGTGCTTTTGTCAATTTGCTGTCTCTATAAACTGATTTTGAGTGATTTCCAGTCTATGCTGTTAAGTGAAAAAGACAAATCTTAAGTGATATAGAGACAAATCTAACAGAACTACTGGGAGAAAATGACAAACCAATAATTTTAAAGAACGTTCTCGCAGATTATGTTTACCAATAGTAAAATAAGAAGTCAATAACAAAATGATAGCCACAAAATAGATATCACCAACAAAACGACAGACAAACATCCCATGTATTTGGATTCTAAAAGCCACACTCCTAAATAATTTCAAGTTAGAGAATAAGTAAAAATTAAATTTACAAAACAGGTGCAATTTAACTTCAGCAAAAGTACATATAAAAATTTGTGGCATGCAGCAGTATTAAAAGTCAAATTTATAGCTTTAAACACATTTATTTGAAAATAAGAATTGTTGGAAAAACAATAAGTGCTTGCGTTTAGAAGTTAAGGAAAGAACAACAAAATGAACCCAAAGAAAATAGAGGAAAGGAAATAATAATGATAAAAGGAGAAATGAATGAAGTAAAAGACTCATGCAACAGATTAAACACAGTTGATCAGTAAAAAATAAGCGGATTCTTTGATAAGACTAATAAAATAGAAAACTTCTAAACTACAATATTTACATGAGTTAAATATTAAAATAAAAAGTAACACATTATAATAGAGATTTTAAATGCCATAAGACATTATTTCATGAATAATATTAAGCTAATAACAAAATTTTCAATGCAGTGCATAACTTTCTACAGAAAAATATAAACTATCACAATTCACTTAAGAAGAAAAAAGCCTGAGTACATCAATAATTTTCTAAAAAATGAGTTCAGAATCATAAATGTCCAATGACCTACCTTCAATGGCACAAGGCTGAATCTGTTTCATGAGAGTTCTAGAAAACTTGAAGAACCACTAATTCCAACCGTATTGAATCTCTTCCAGAGTTTAGTAAGAAACAGGAAGTTACTCAATTCATTTTACAAGACTAGTGTAACCTTGATGCATAAACAGAACAAGGATAACATCAGAAAATATTATTGGCCAATACCCCTTATAAGTACAAATACAGCAATTTTACATAAACTCTTAAAAAACTATATTTAATGTAAAAGGAATATTCTAAAAATAGTACATCACAGACAAATACAGCTTATTCCAGGAATACATGTATTGCTTTAAGTTAGAAAATCTTTTAATTTAACTGTGTTAAAAGATTTTAACCACATAAGGGGCTGGCCCTATGGCTTAGTGGTTAAGTGTGTGTGTTCTACTACTGGTGGCCCAGGTTTGGATCCCAGGTGCGCCCTGACGTACCGCTTGTCCAGCCATGCTGAGGCGGCACCCCACATACAGAAACTAGAAAGATGTGCAACTATGACATACAACTATCTACTGGGACTTTAGGGAGAAAAAGGGGGGAAAAAAAGGGGGAGGATTGGCAATAGATGTTAGCTCAGGGCCGGTCTTCCTCAGCAAAAAAAAAACAAAACAAAAACAAAAACAAAAGAGGAGGATTGGCATGGATGTTAGCTCAGGGCTGATCTTCCTCACAAAAAAAAAAACAGAGATTTTAACCACATAATAGCTTATGGGAGGAAAACTATATGATTACCTTAATAGCTTCAATTTGAGACAATGAGTATCAGCACTTTATTTGGCAAAATTTCTGAATGTTAAATTCGTACTATATGGGGGACAGAGGATAGGCAATGAGTTTTCTCATACAGTCTTGGTGGGAGTGCAAATCAATATAGCTACACTATAGAAAAATTTTGTAGTATCAATTAATTTTTTATGTAGTAAATATTTTTTTAATTGTGGTATACTTGACAGATAACATTATATTAGTTTCAGGTGTACCATATAATGATTTAATATTTGTATATAATGTGAAATAATCATCACAATAAGTCTAGTCAATATTCATCAGTATACGTAGGTACAAAAATTTTTTTGTGTGTGATGAGGATATTCTTTTTTGTTGTTGTTCAGGAGGACTGGCCTTGAGCTAACATCTGTTGCCAATCTTCCTCTTTTTGCTTGAGGAAGATTGTCACTGAGCTAACATCTATGGCAATCCTCCTCTATTTTGCATGTGGGACACTGCCGCAGCATGGTTTGATGAGTGGTGCGTATGTCCGTGCCTGGGATTCAAACCCACAAACCCCGGGCCGCCAAAGCAGAGCATGTGAAAAAACCACTACACCACTGGGCAGGCCCCCTGATGGGGATTTTTAAGATCTAGTTTCTTAGCAACTTTCAAATATGCACTACAGTATTAATAACTGTAGTTACCATGCTGTATATTACATCCCCATGACTTATTTATTTTATAACCAGAGGTTTATATGCTTTGCTCTCCTTAACCCATTTCACTCACCCTCCTAACCCTCATCTCTGGCAACCACCAATCTGTTCACATATAAGTGAGATCACACAATGTTTATATTTCTCAGTCTGACTTATTTCACTTAGAATAAGCAGTTTTTTAAAATTATTAGTGGGCATATCCTTTAGCAGAGGGGATCTACTTGTAGTTGTCTAATACACAGGATCACTCGTACATAAATACTAAGACACACACACAAGGATATTTATTGCAGCATTGTTTAAAATCATGAAAAATTTGGAAATAATAAAAATATTCTTAACTAAATAAAACTTGATACATACATATGATGACATAAGGTGGATATCTATGTGACTATCTCTCAAAAAACCTAACATTAAGAGCGATGCATATAGTTTGATATAATTATGTACATATAAAAGCAGTAATATTTTTTCTTTAAAGTATTTTAAAAATGGTTTTGAAAAAATACAAACTGATAATCATGGATTCCTCTAGTTATGACTGCAGATAATTAACATAAAGTATTTGAGATGAATATGATTTCAGGTTTAGCTTTAGGATTCTCTCCATTTTTTTAATAAGACAATGTATTCACATATTACTTATTGATAAAAAAATAAGCATATTCAAATAAAATATGCCTATAAGTTTAATTAAAATTTTGCAGTAGGCTACCCTTGAAGTAAGAAAGAAGATCATGAAATAAAATATTCATAGCTGCTTATTTTAACAAAAGAGGCACAAGAAGCAAAAGCTAGAAACTAATGAGTGATTTCATACAAGAGATAGGTGGAAAATGGATGAAACACAGGCAATGGGAATAGTTTAGCAGCAATGAGGAGAGGACATTTTCTGAGTATACATTTTTGGATAACTCTCACTAATAGAGTCATAGTAATATTTCACATACTCCTCAAATGAATAATTAACTAAAACCAACCAGGATGTGAGTGGAATCTAATGGAATATGAATTATTATAAAATAAAAATCTATAAAATAAACAACAAAACTGTATTGAAAGGATGGAGGAAAAAAGGAACTAACCTAGTTAAACCCAGTGAAAACCACAATTAAAGGATGAAGGAAAAAGGAACTAGTTCTGGAAAATAGTATTCTGACTGGAAACCACAGGCTAAAGACAGAAACAATTCCACACAAATACTGTGCTCTACTTAGTAAATCTATTTCTAATTGGGGTATGGTTACCTATTCTGAAACTATTTTATGTGTTCAGTAGGATTAAAAGTAAATAAACATAGAAGATGAGAATCAGGTCTCTCACTATCTGAGAAAACAATTACATATAAGAAATGGGAGGGAGAGGTGATGTCAGCTTCATGGTAGAATGAGTTATTCCCTTTGTCTCTCCCTGCTAAGTTATGACTAATCGGACACCCATTGACCAACAAGGGGCTCCTTACATAGTACAACAAAATTTTTTTTTTAACTTTTTTTTCGTGTGTGTGAGGAAGGTCAACCCTGAGCTAACATCCATGCTAATCCTCCTCTTTTTGCTGAGGAAGACTGGCTCTGAGCTAACATCTATTGCCAATCATCCCCCTTTTTTTCCCCCAAAGCCCCAGTAGATAGCTGTATGTCGTTGTTGCACGTCCTTCCAGCTGCTGTATGTGGGACACAGCCTCAGCATGGCCAGAGAAGTGGTGCCTCAATGTGTGCCCGGGATCCGAACCCGGGCTACCAGTAGTGGAGCACACGCACTTAACCACTAAGCCATGGGGCGAGCCCCAGAACAAAATATTTTAAAGATCCATGCATCTATATGTCTAAAGGTGAGTGGACTGGGCCTCCAGGAGCCGTGAAACAGGAGAACAGCCCCTTGCCTGATCCCTGGGCAGCTGCGATCCAAAATGTAGATCCTCACATGCACACACACAGGTGAACAGAGGCTGCAGGGGCAGGGACATCACTGGCAGCTTAGCCCCTGCCTCCCCAGCAGTGTTGGTTGGTGCACACACCCTTAGCATTCAGAACACAAAACCGAACCAGTGGCCCTGCCCTTTCCCCCACCTTCAGCAGTGGCCCAGTCTTACCAACAGTGGGGACAGTATTCAAAATGTGGATTTTCCCAGCTGGGATAGGGAGCTCTGACCTGAATTTTCAAAACACACTCACTCACACTCAGTGACCAGAGGCTACACAAGCGAGCAGCAATGACACACACTCTTTGCTTCACTCCTAGCACACCCAACAGTGGCAGATGGAACTTGGACCGGAGGCTTCAGTAACCACAGCAGAACCCATGACTCAGCTCCCAGTGGTGGCACCCCTGACACCAGCTCTACCAGCAGTGAGGGCTGCATACAAGTTTCTGCGTATGGATGCAGCGCCTGTGAACACAGCACCTCTGGCAGTGTTGCCGACAGCACCCCCAGACAACCTGGAAGCTGCACTGCAGGTGATGCACTGCAGGTGATGCATGGGGAAGGAACCTCTGAACACATGGAGAACACACAAAGAGCCAGTGAGGGAACAAGAGACCTAGGCCACCCTGGAAGGAACAGAAGTGCTCACAGTCCAGTGACGCCAGTGGTGACACCTGTGCAGCAGTAACATCATAAGCAGCAAGTCACCAGCAACCTCAGAGGCACAAGCAGCACAAGGAGGGCACTGACAACACCTCTGGCAAAGGCAGTGGAGAGTGGAAGATGTAGGCTTTCAAATACAAGCAGAAGCAGGTCAGATCCAAGGTAAACAAAGCCTAACCCAAATAATAAAGGTGATTACTATCACAAATGTACCAGCAGAGGATCAAGTCATCAAGTACCATGAAGAACCACAATAATACAGAAGAACAGAAAGAAAATGACCACTCTCCAGAAACAAAACTTGAATTCCACAGGATATTACAATCTAACTGACAGAGAATTAAAAACAACTGTCATGAAGAAACTCAATGAGTTACAAGCAAACTCAGAAAGATAGTTCAATGAGCTCAGGAATAAAATTAATTAACAGGAGGAGTACTTAACCAAAGTGATTGAAACCCTAAAAAAAAAAAAAAATTCTGGAGATGAAGAACAGAATTAATGAGAGGAAAAATAAAGTAGAATGCATTAAAAATAGAGAAAACATTATGGAAGGCATACTTAGTGAGCCTGAAGATAGAAATCTGGAAATAATTCAGGTGGAAGAGGAGAGAGAACAAGGACTTTTTTAAAAAGGAGAAATTCTATGAGAACTATCTGACTCAAGAAGGAAAAGTAACATAAGGATAATAGGTACCCCAGAAGGAGAAGAGAGGGAGAAAGGAGCAGAGAGCTTATTCAAAGAAATAATAGCTTCCTCCCAAACTTGGGGAAGGAACTGGATATCCAGTACATGAAGCTAATAGAACTAATTATCTCAACGCAAAAAGACACTTTCCAAAACATATAAAGTTAAAACTGTCAAAAGTCAAAGGCAAAGAAAGAATATTAATTACAGCCACAGAAAAGAAAATAACTTACAAAGGGACCCTCATCAGGCTTTCAGTGGATTTCTCAGCAGAAATTCTATAGGGTAAGAGAAAGTGGAATGATATATTCAAAATACTGAAAGACAAAAGCTATCAGCCAAGAATTCTCTATGCAGCAAAATTATCCTTCAGATATGAAGAAGGAATAAAAGCTTTCCCAGACAAACAAAAGCTGCGGTAGTTCACCACCAATAGACCTGCCTTATAAGAAATGTTGGAAGGAGCCCTCCAAAGAGAAACAAAATGGAAAAGGTTTAAAAGGCCTTCAGCATGGTGATAAATAGACAGACAGAATCATAAAATTGCAACTCTATATGGAAATAGATTATTAAACACTTAATTATATCATAAAAGCTACAGGGAAAGACAGCATCAAAAATAAGAATAACCACTTCAATTTAGACACAAACTCACAACACAAGAAAGAATAATTTGTGACGAAGAAAATCATAGAAGTGGAAGAGGAGAAGGACAGAACCTGAATAGGCTAATGCAAATAAAACATTTTTAGCAAAAAAAGGTCTAGCTCATCCACAAGATCTCTTGTACAAACCTCATGGTAACCACAAAACAAAAAATTACAGAAGCATCACAAATCATAAAAAGAGAAAATTGAAGAAATATCACAGAAAAACACCAAACTGAAATGGTAGACAGAAATATAAGAAAAAATAAAGAACAGATGTATAGAACAACTGGAAAACAAAAGATAAAACGGCAGTATAGGGCCCTCATATATCAATAATCTCTCTAGATGTAATAGGATTGAATTCACCAATCAAAATTTTCAGAGTGTCTGGATGAATTAAGAAACAAGATCCATAATAGGCTGCCTCCACGGACCCATCTGAGCTCTAAAGACAAATGCAGGCTCAGAGTGAAACGGCGGAATGCGGTGTTCCAAGCAAATGGCAAAAAAAGAAAGCAGGTATAGCTATATGTATATCAGACAAAACAGACTTCAAGATAAAAATGATATCAATAGACAAATATTGGCATGATATGATGATAAAAGGGACATTCCACGAAGAAGATATAACAGTTATTAATACATATGCATCTAACATAGGAGCACCAAAGTATATAAAGCAACTAGTAACAGACTTAAAGGGAGAAATTGACAGCAACACAACAATAGTAGGGGACCTCAATACCCTGCTTACATCAATGGATAGATCATCCAGACAGAAAGTCAACAAGGAAATAGTGGCCTTAAATGAAACACTAGACCAGATGGACTTTATAGATATATATGGTACCTTCCATCCCAAAGTAGGAGAATACACATTATCCTCAAGTGAATATGGAATATTCTAAAAAATAGACCATATTTTGGGAAATAAAACAAGCCTCAATAAATTTAAAAAGATTGAAATCATATCTAGCATCTTTTCCAGCTACAATGGTATGAAACTAGACGTCAACTATAAGAAGAAAGCTGGAAAAGTCACAAATATGTGGAGACTAAACAATATGCTACTGAACAAATATTGGATCAATGAAGAAATCAAAGGAGAAATAAAAAAAATACCTGGAGACAAATGAAAATGAAAACACAACATGCCAAAACTTGTGGGATGCAGCAAAACAGTACTGAGGGAAGTATATAGCAATACAGGCCCATCTGAAGTAACAAGAAAAATCTCAAATAAACAATATAACACTACACTTATAAGAACTCTAGGGGCTGGCATCGTGGCCTAGTTAAGTTTGGCGTACTCCACTTTGGCAGCCTAGGTCGATTCCTTGGCGTAGACCTACACCACTTGCTGGCAGCCAAGATGTGACAACAACCTAGGTACAAAATACAGGAAAGTCGGCATGGATGTAAGCTCAGGGCGAATCTTCCTCAGCAGAAAAAAAAAAAAAAACTTGATATAGAAGAAAAAACAAACCCCAACGTCAGTAGAAGAGTGGTTATAATAATAAAAATCAGAGTGGAAATAAATAAAATAGAGATTAAAAAGAGAATAGAAAGGGTCAATCAAACTAAAAGTTGATTTTTTGAAAAGAAAAAAAATATTGACAAACCTTTAACTAGACTCAGAGAAAGGAGAGAACGCTCAAATCAATTAGAGCAAAATTGAAAGATAAGAAATTACAACAGATAATACATAAATCCAAAGGAGTATAAGGGAACACTATCAAAAACTATTTGTCAATGAATTGGATAACCTAGGAGAAATTGGAAAATTCTTAGAATCATATAACCTCCCAAAACTAAATCCGGAAGAAACAGAGGATCTGAATAGATCAATAGCAAGTAACGAGATGGAAACAGTAATCAAAAACCTCACAAAAAACAAAAGTTCAGGACCATATGGCTTCTCTAGTGAATTCTACTAAACATTCAAAGAAGATTTAGTACCTTTCTTTTTCTAACTCTTCCAAAAATTGAATAGGATGGGACTCATTTTACGAGACCAACATTACCCTGGTACCAAAACCAGACGAGGACAACACAGAAAGGAAAATTACATGCCAAAATTGCTGATGAACATAGATACAAAAATCCTCAAGAAAATATTAGCAAATCAAATAAAACTATACATTAAAAGGATGATACATCACAAACGGGTGGGATTTATTCTAGGGGTACAGGAATGGTTCCCCATCTGAAAATCAATCAATGTGTTATACCACATTAACAAAATAAACAATAAAAACCACACGGTAATCTCAATAGGTGGAGAGAAAGCATTTGATAAGACCCAACATCCATTTATGAAAAAACTCACAGGAAAATATGTATAAAAGGAAAGTACTTCAACTAATAAAGGCCATATATGACAAACCCACAGCCTACATCATACTCAACTGTGAAAAACTGAAAGTTATTATTCTAAGAATAGGAACAAGACAAGGATGCCCACTCTCATCACTCTTATTCAACATAGTATTGGAAGTTTTAGCTGTAGCAATGAGGCAAGAAAAAGAAATAAAAGGCATCCAAATTGGGAAAGAAGAAATAAAACTGTCACTAGTTGTGGATGACATGATTCGTTATATAGAAAACCAAAAGGATCCACCAGACAACTGTTAGAAATAATTAACAAATACAGTAACGTTTCAAGGTACAAAATAAACATACAAAATCAATTGCATTTCTATGCACTAGAAATGAACTAGCAGAAAGAGAAATCAAGAATAAAATCCCATTTAAAATTGCAACAAAAAGAATAAAATATCTAGGAATAAATTTAACCAAGAACATAAAAGACTTATACACTCAAAACTATAAGACATTATTGAAAGAAATTGAAGAAAACGTAAAGAAATGGAAAGATATTCCATGCTCATGGATCGGAAGAATAAACATAGTTAAAATGTCTATATTACCTAAAGCAATCTAAAGATTCAATGCAATCCCAATCAGAAACCCAAAGAGATTTTTCACGGAAATAGAACAATAATCCTAAAATTTATACAAAACATAAAAGACCCCAAACAGGCAAAGCAATTCTGAGAAAAAAGGACAAAGCTGGAGTACCTTTCCTCATTTCAAAATATACTACAAAGCTGTAGTAATCAAAAGAGCATGGTACTGGCAAAAAAACAGATACATGGATTCATGGAACAGAATTGAGAGCCCAGAAATAAACTCACACATTTATGGACAACTAGTCCTTGACAAAAGTGCCAGAGCATACAATGGACAAAGGAAACACTCTTTAATAAATGGTATTGGGAAAACAGGACAGCCACATGCAAAAGAATTAAAAAGTAGATCACTATCTTACACCATACACAAAAATTAACTCCAAATCGATTAAAGATTTTAATGTAAGACTTAAAGCCATAAATATACTAGAAGAAAGCATAGGCAGTACCCTCTTTGACACTGGATTTAGCAGTATCTTTTCAAATACCGTGTCTCCTCAGGCAAGGGAATCAAAAGAAAAAATAAACAAATGGGACTATATGAAACTAAAAAGCTTCTGCACTGCAAAGGAAT